CTAAATGTTATAAGGATGATATTGTGTTTAATTCTGATGATTACATGTAGAAGGATTCTTTCATAAGCAAAATGGTTCCATTAAATTGACTAAATGTTATAAGGATGATATTGTGTTTAATTCTGATGATTACATGTAGAAGGATTCTTTTATAAACAAAATGGTTCCATTAAATTGTCTGAATGTTTAAAGAATGATATTTTCCAATTTCTGCTCGAATCTGCAAAAAAACGTTTGTTTGTCCAGAAATACAAAAAACTGCAAAGGAAATAAAAACTATTAAAATTAATGTTCATCATATCAGGACTCTTTTGATCACATTTACCCATTATTGTAATTTTTTAAAAGTCGTATCATTAGCGGGGCATTTACAGAGAGTACACGGAGCTAAATACAACTTTCAATGTGAATATTTCACAAAAGGGTAGGAGTGTATATTTTTCTGCTTTCAATTAGCTTTCATTGGGTTTGGGGAAAAATAATGAAGGAAAAAGGGGGAGGGGGAAGGGAAGGGGAAAAGGAAAAGGGGGATGGAGAATGGACTGGAAGGGAAGGGAGAGGGGTCGCGAATGGAAGGGAAGGGGATATTGAGAATGGAAGGGAAGAAGGTTGTGGATGGAAGGGAAGGAGGATGAATAATGGAAGGAAAGGGGGGAGGGAGAAGAATGTAGAGAAAGGGAAGGGGGTATATGATAGAAGGGAAGGGGGTGGAGAATAGAAGGGAAAGGAAGGTGAGTGGAGAATTGAAGGGAAGAGGGGTATAAAATGGAAGAGAAAGTTGAGAATGGGAAAATGAAGAATGGAGGGGAACGAGGGGAGAAGAGAAGAGATGAATGAGAAAGACGGGTGGTTGGGGCTGTGGGGAGGCAGCATATACAAATACGATGATTACTTCAATGTTATGATTATTAAAAGGCGGAAAGTGTTTCTCAGTATGAAATTAAAATAACACAAACACACATTAAACATACACAGACAAAAAGACGAAATCCTTTGCTTTAGAGAGACGATGTTGAAGGGACTGTACAGTGTACACGTAGTTTCAAGAGACCCTTTATGTTTAGAGTATGAACTGTCCGATTCACAACGGTACTCTCTAAATCTCTAAATCTAATGAAGAATTATGAAATATTTATGTTTTTCTCTTTTAGGTTGATCATTTTCAATTGTGGTTTCTCTTTTAGCATTAATTTGCGAATTTCAGCTACAGACACATTGAAGGAAATTGTTATAATTGAACACGTTTAGAGATAGTAAAACGGTTAATTGTTCTCAATGTTACTTAGAAGAAGGGTTCCTTATATTACAACAATAGTCACATGAATTTATCAAAAATAAATCCCTCACTATTATTTCTCACTAAACCACCCTACCACCCCCTACCCTCCTCCCAAAAAGAAAAGCTCATGTTACCCCTAAAAGAGAGGAGTTGTTATAGTGTAAAATTATCACATGATTGTCTAATTGCATTGCTAATCTATATATAAAGCCTT